GTGGAAAGCCACTAGAACTTGGTTCTCAAAGGCGATATCCTGTAGGTGGAAGTACGAGTTAATGTTGGTTTCCCAATTGTCAAAATCTTCGCCCTTCTTCCCCCCATACTGCTCAGGGAACTTGACGTCAGACCTCCAGTACCTACCGGTTGTCAAGGCCCGTGGCTCAGGCTACCGTCAGCCCGGTCATTCCCGAGCCTTGGACTTTATTGCCGAGCCTTGGACAACCGGTAGTACACAACAGGAAAAAAAAAACACACACACAAAAAAAAAAACATACAACATTCTGCAAAAAAGAAAACAAAAAAAACGAAACGAAATCGGACATGACCAACGAGAATGAATTTCCTCGATAAAGAGGAATATTCATTCTCGTGATAGATAGATAGATAGATAGATAGATAGATAGATAGATAGAGAGAGAGAGAGGGCGTCAGCCAGTGTATGACGCCGAGTTTGGTGCACCGAACTCGGCGTCAGACACTAGCTGACGCCCTCTCTCTTTCTCTCTCTTTCTCTCTCTCCACCAAACTCGGCGTCATACATTGGCTGACGCCATCTCTCTCTCGCGCGTGCCCGCGCCCGCGCGCGTTTGATTTTTTTTGTGGTTATCTGCAATCAGACTCGCTTCTTTTCACACTCCACATACATGCAAACAGGTAGCGCAGCAAACTGGCGGCAAGCGCCCACTCAAAACTCAGAGATATGGAAACCAAGAACACAGTTCAGATACAAGTTCGCTTGAGATGGCTATGGCGCATCAGCGCCTGTACAACTCCCTGTTCGTCACTGCGCCCCACTCTGCTGTTCACTCACCCTCAACTTAGGATCACCCTGGATATCCCACATGCGTCACACTGTACACACACACGCTACACTCTTCTATCAGCTATGGCGGCTATGGCTGCTGCTACCCCTATCCCTATGGCTAAGCTCTCCTTCTGGCCCGCTTCGTCTTCGGGCGTACTGCAGACCACCTCCCACAAGTCACTGTGGCAGTGCTTCCGCATGGCTTACGCAGGAATGAATGAATGGCTGGGCGCTGCCTCTTTCGTTGGTCTGCCCCTTTCCCATGCCCCTGGTGCACACAGTCCCACACGGTACTTGCTTGACTGGACCGTGACTGACTGGGACCAGTATCACGGACTGCATTGGTTTGCACTGCCAACTCAATGCAGTCGCACTGCCGACGTACCACAGTTGGGCTCACCAGTTGCCCACTTGCCTCTGTCTAAACGTGAGCCATACTTCGAAAGGCCACCGCTAGGACCTTCCGGAAGGCTGCAGACTTGGCCTTTTGAACACTGTAGCAGCTACGACCTTGACCTTTCAGGACTGTAGCAGCTACGACCTTGACTTCTCAGGACACCTACAGCTACGGCCTCTAGGCCTCACTAAGACCTCTATCCAATAGGTCTACAGATCGAACCCCTACCCGGACCTACGACAGTCTACCAACTGCTACGAATACTCAGGTCACGGGTTCAACTCTCGGGGTCGACGCAGGTAATGTACACAGGTAAGGTAAAGTCCAGGGATCGATCCCTGGGATCTGCATTCGCTACTGCTAGCAGGTGAATACCGTTTCAATCTGCTTGCCAACGAAACAATGCGTTCCACGCATGTGCGGTGTGGTGCGCGCGGCGCGATGTGCTTATCGCTGATGCACACACACAAAAAAAAGAAGCGGGCGTGATGTGTGTATATGCGTGTGCGCGCGCTAGCGAGAGAGAGAGAGAGAGAATTCCTGCTGGTAATCCGAAAGGTCCCTGCAGGTAATTAGCAGGGGTCCCCTCGCCAAGAAAGAGGTAGGTGTTGGACTTATGGTAGGGAAGTAGCAGGACAACTATTTATGATGTAGATTCGAATGCAGGTCTGTGTTTCAGGAGTTATGGGTTACAAACTTTCTAACTCAGCACGTAGTTTCAGGGTTTCCCTCCACTTCTCACTGCCATATGTTTTTGTCTTTTGTGCAATTGTGAGTAGTGGAGCGAGGCCCTTAGGGCCACTGCACGTAAGAAAAGGAAAACAATAAGAAGAGAGTGCTACTGTAGTTAGTAGTAGTAACCCATAGCTGCTGGACCACAGACCTGAATTCGAATCCAGAGCAACGAGAAGGCATATATTGCCGGCCTGCTTGTGTCGAACTCGAAATTTGATGAACGTCTCTGCTAAAAAAGGGGACCCTTGCTGATTCTTTGCTGAGGGCCCTTTGGAAAAGAGACTGGATCCAACGAGTACGATGTGGCCCCAATTATTTTTCTCTCGTGCACTTACAATTTTCAGGAGGGGCACATTTGGCCCCAATACGATTTGTGGATACCTCATTTTGTATGGTACAGGATAGACTTTGAAATGCAAAGAAGATGAAAGTAGAGACCATGTGTGTGTGTTTGTGTGTGTGTGCGTGTTTGTGCGTGTGTGTGTGTGTGTGAGAGAGAGAGAGGGAGGGGGGGGGGGGGGGGAAGGTTGGTGTGGACGGTAAGGTAGAGATGCTAGATTTTCTCAGGGCTTTTCAGCTGTGGTTCTGGCTATTCCTCTCTCTCTCTCTCTCCCTTGCTTTCACACATCTTTTTGTTTGTGGTAACCTGTTTGCCCCAAACAGTGGGTCCTAGAAACTCTCACGAATGCAGTTTGGCACCTGTAATTTTTGTGGAAATCAGAAATTATTTGTGGACAGTTTTAGAAATGCCGGACTTGGAACTCCAAATGCACGGAAGATGAAGCCTGCAATTGTGTGTGTGTGTGCTCTTAAGCTTGTGACGCACGGCATATCATATCGACACAACGGTCCAGATATACGAGATGGTATTGATTATGAAAGTGTGGGCGTAGTCGCACTGGCCGTACTTGTATTTTTTCTGAACTTTGACAGCATAACCTCGTGAGAACTCATGAAGTGTAGTAATTCCGAAACATCAGCGTAGCTTCTTGCTTCAAAAGTAGCCTTCAAAGTTCTTCCAAAAGCTTTTTGACTGAATCTCTTCCTGAGTGCCCCGCCTGCGATGGTGCCGGTTTCTTTCCTCGTGCATGGCTGCCCCTGGTCTGGTACTGTATGATGTTCTGCCTGCCCGTCAGCACGACGCCCAATCGGCCTGGTGACATCCTTCACTCACAGTCCAGCTATGGCCCGTCCTGCCCTGTCAGATGAAGCTACTCCTCCAGCTGGCGAAGCTCATCATGATCAGCCAGTGGATTGTCAGTTGTTCTCCGTTCGACTGAGGTGACTTGGACTTGGTCCAGCTGGCGACATCCTTCACTCACAGTCCAGCTGTGGCTGGTCCCGCCCTGTCAGATGAAGCTACTCCTCCAGCTGGCATACCTTATCTTGATCAGCCAGTGGATTGTCAGGTGTTCTCCTTTCGGCTGAGGCGACTTGGACTTGGTCCAGCTTGCCTCAAATATTTTTGTCGGTCTCCTGTTCAACCTTCTTTTGTTTATTTACCTTTCCTGACATTGCAAATAGTAAAAAAGCAAGAATGCCCAGTCTTCCCTTTCTAACTTTGTGTGCGCTGTTATGGGGCTTGTTCCACACCACTTGAAAGCCCTCGAGGTTCCAGAGAGCACTGTTCCACAGCATCCTAATGGTGTCCCCGAACACCCTAATGACATCTCCAAACGTCTCCACATTTCTCACACTATTTCGCTCTTGACAGCGCTCTTGAAGTCAAGGGAGCTTTGACAGATGCCTTGAGTTTTCCAGGGCGGAAACTTCCTATACTGCTCACCAAACAGATGGGCTCCCATCTCACTCGCAGAATGAAATTCTTTGAGTGCAGCCGTTTCAGGGGTCGTTTCAAGGGCACATCAAACGAAAACAGGAATTAGGGGTCTCAGGTGTGGGGCGCGCTATGCACACGAACGGCGAAGTAGCGTCGGTGGGTCCATTGATTGATTGATTGGTTCATAGAGTGGGTGATCGATTGATTTCTTTTTCCATCGGATGTTTGACAGGCTGCTGCCCAAAACAATTGCCTGGGCCTTGGGCCAGCTCCTGGCACTTTCCAATTGCTGGCTTGGAAAAGCCAGCTTAGAGAATGTCCTGGTTTAGTAAGAATAAAATAAGGGGAGTGGTGACTAAGGGAAGCATCCGAGCCAGCCCAGGAAAGATGTCCCGGTACTCAAAAAAAGGGGAGTGCTGGTTGAGCTGAGCACGCAATCACATGCGGTTCCCATAACCCGTCGGGTTGACTGGTGACAAGCTTGCAACACATTGGCAACAATGTGTTCCGGTCCAGTCAGAACGCAACTCTACCAGCTTACTGGTAGGGAGCTTCCAAATCTGCAAGTGTCAGCGTAGTCTTCTCATCTCTGTGTATCTGTACTCCGTGGTGTTGTCCTATAGTATTCTGTGCTTTCCTCTAGTTTTCTTTATTGTGTGTAGTCTGGGTTCAAGGTGAAGTAGTGCAAATGGGAATGATTCCGGCTTCAGCTCATCTCTACTGCTGTGGAAACAACGAGAGAAGTACACTGGATGTATGGTACATGGCTTTCCCTTTTAACTCTTTTGGGCATATATTGGCATAGGCTGTTTTGGCCTGCTTCGGGCAACTGGAGTGATAGTGGCAGTTCTGGGTTGTGCTTTGGCCTTGGGTAACCGTGTTTTCTTCACTAGTTTCATGCTACGACGCCGGAGCTTGGGGCAAGGGACAGTAGCTTGCCACTCGTACTGCAAACCGTCCAAGAAAACACATGGACATTGAGATCATAACGTCGTTGATAATGTATGAGATACTGAGCGGATGAGGAGTGGCTGTTGCACATTGAGAAAGTGGCTAGAAACTGGACATTGAGATTATGTGAGATTGCTGCATTGCAGGTTTGGAGTTGGTGACTTGTGGTGGGAATGCAAAAGAACAATCGATGCAAAGGTTACAAAATAGAGCAGAAATATGAATTTGGGTAACACAATTGGAGGTCTGTTTGGTGGGTTGACGAGGTTTGAGTTGCCATGAACGCCTCTTCTAACGGGACTGTTGTTCTCTGCACCGGATGGGCAGGTTATTCCAGAAGTGTGTGGGGGAGGTGGACTTGTCTTGTTGTGGTCGTCTCGATGCTACATGGCTTGCATACCTCGGTGGATTTCGATTCCTAAGGACTCTTTCACTGTCAGGGTGCTCTCGAGTACAAGGAAGCAGCCTATGGACATTGTCAGGTAGTTCCCTTCAAGATTAAATGTCCAGTACCCCAGTGAGACGTTTTCCCTTATCTGCGTTTTGTCCTCCTTTTGTTCTCTTTTTTCCTCATCCATTCTGTGTTTGACGTTTGCTTCTCCTTTTTTTTTTCATTCTTAGTTCTTATTCTTGCTATGTTTGACGTTTACTAACCCCAAGTGCAATGAACCTCTTAGTTCAATCACCAGCGAGCGCACACGATCACACCACATGCATGTTTGAGTTCACACAAATTTCACACTGGAGGTCAGAGAGATGAAGACCAGGTAGCGCAGCTTATAATTCCAACAAAGTATCATGTGAGCAGTAAGAGTTCAAGTCACCAGCGCACATGAGCACATACCAAAAAGGTAACCAGTGTCCAGCATAAACTCTCAGGTAGGTATCTCTCTCTCTCTGCTCTTCTCTCTTATGTATCTCTTTCCCCCACTGGTCTTCTCTCTAACCATTTCCTCACTGTGTCTTCTCTCCCTACATGCGTGGACACTCACTAACCTCTTCTTCAAGGATCTACTCTGAATACACCCACTGATATGTCTACTAACCCTCTGAAGTCTACTACTAACACTCTGCACTGCTGCAGCTATGGCTGCCTTCCCCTACCAGCCCAATCTCTCTCTCTCTCTCTCTCTCTCTCTCTCTCTCTCTCTCTCTCTCTCTCTCTCTCTCTCTCTCTCTCTCTCTCTCTCTCTCTCTCTCTCTCTCTCTCTCTCTCTCTCTTAGTGCAGCACTGTGGCTTCAGCGATCTGCCCCTCACAGTAGCGCACAAGTGCTCCAGCACTTCCACACTCCATGAGGAGGCTGGCCATTCCTTTTGTAGTCTTGGATTGCACTTCAACTCGTGCCAGTCTCTGCTTCTTGGGGCCTTTTCCGGCATCACATCCCCACGGCCTGTATGCTTTCGAATGTCAAGGCCTGGAACCTTCCTGAATTTCCATTGGTCTGCTGCTGCTTGGGCCTTTGAGTCATGGCTTTTCGATTTAAGCATATGGGTTTGACTGTGGACTGTGACTTCTGCCTCGGGGACAGGACTCTTGCCTGTGGAACTGCCCCTTGTAGGGTGTGACTCTTCAATACGACTTTTCATTATGAAACGTGATTCTTTCCCCCTAAGATGTGACTGTTTGCTGGGTGCGTGTTGGACTGTGTAAAGAGTGCCATATGAGGACAAAGGATCACAAAAATCTCTTTTATTTCTCTCTATTCATCATGTCCTAGCCAGGGCCTCTGACCCGAAGACCCGAATTTGGGGTCCGAATCATGGAAGGCCTTTCTCTCTCGCGGGCCTAATTTCGAAGTCCTCTGAGAAAACAACTACTATCTATTATATTAATTCCTTTTCAAGCCCTCCCGTAGTAAGAGAATATTTGGTACAGTTTGAATCAGCTCTTCCCTAGTAAACCAGCGATCCTCAGATGGTTCTTGATAAGCAAATCTTACCTTGTGCTGTCGCTGTGGCCTACCTCTGCGTCCGGATCTGAAAATATCTTCCCCAATAATTCTGTCCACGTCATACTTCCCGTCCATGTCAGGGGGAAGCATCGATCTATGAGTAGGAAACAGGTCATTAGTAACGCAAGGTAGAAGAAGCTTGGAGGCATGAAACACCGGATAAGTGTGCAAGTGTGGAGGTATCTCGACAACATAGGAAGGACCATCTATATCACCAATCACATCTAAGGTCTACCACGGTCCTCTATAGGCAGGTAGTAGTTCTCCTCAGGGAGAAACTCTTTGTGCAATCATACTCGACTTATTCACACTTCATCATGCTTGTAAACAGCGATACAGCGAACTGGCGACATGCGCCCACACAGTACTCAAAGATATCGTAACCAGATATGAGTTCTCTTCCAACTGGCTATGGCGACTGTGCGCCCATACAACTCACTGTTCACACTCGAGATCACCCTGGATGTCCCACACGC